CAGTATAGAAACAAGCAAAAAAAAGTAGTATAGAGTGGGGTTTGCAATTTTAAATCGAGAAGATGACATCTGGCAAAATTTAAGAGACAGAGTTACCCACTTAACCTGGGGGGAGAGAATCCAAGGCAGAGAGGAAAGAATTAAGCCGAAGGCTCTTACGTGGAAGCATTCAAGGTATCCCAATAATGCACATTTATGTATTCTAGCATTATCTGTTTTTGTATTTAAAAGTTTTAATTATAATACAGTAGACCCTCAATAGTTGACCACTTCTTTAAGTTGACCTAATTTTCATAGACCAGACACGCACCACATATATGTATCGAGATAATAGGCCTAGTTTTTTTCTGTTGACCAACTCTGTTGACCAGTTATAGTTCCTTGGGTGGTCAAGGAACTTTCAGAGGTATTTCTTTTTTGGTTGTTCTATCTTCTTTGGACAAATTCTTGGGATTAAATGCATTTTTATGTCTATACCTTTCTAATTTTATTGGTTTTTTGTTTTATGAGATATAGTGTCTCTGCTGCCTGGGCTAGAGTCCAGTGGTGTCATAATTCATAACACCCTCACATGGGTTCAGTGATCCTCCTGACTTAGCCTTCCAATTATCTGGGACTACAGGTGTTAGTTTTTCTACTTTTTTTTTTTTAGAGACAGGGTCTCACACTTGCTCAGACTGGTCTTGAACTCCTGGCTTCAAACAATCCTCCCATCTTGGAGGATAATAGGTATAAGCCAATCAAGCCTCATCAACTTTCTGTTTAAATTAGTATTTACTGTTATACAAAAAACATATACACCAGGTAAAGCTCAGTGTTTTCTTGGCAAATAAGTTGGTTCTTAAAAACGAATAACAGGCTGGACATAGTAGTTTGTGTCCATAGTCTCAGCACTTTGAGAGGCTGAGGGTGAAGTATTAGTTGAGCCCAGGAGTTCAAAGCTGCAGTGAGCTATATCAGACCACTGCACTCCAGCTGGGCAACATAGTGAGAAGCCCCCATCTCTACAAAATATTTAAAAAAAACAAAACAATTATCCAGGCATAGTGGCATGCGACTGTAGACCCAGTGGCTTGGGAGGCTGAGGCAGGAGAATCGTTTGAAGCTCCAGAGAGCTATGATTGCATCACTGCACTCCAGCCTGGGTGACATAGTGATACACTGTTTCTTTAAAGATAAAATACAAACATACATCTGTATATACATCCATACATGACATGCAAAAATAAGTAAATAAAGAGTGCCATTAATGGTATTGCTGCTGTTGTCATTACTACTACTGTTGTTTGAGTTCTTACTATGTGCCAAATACTGCTCTGTTTTCAAAGTATTAACTCATTTGATTGTTTCAACATCTTGTAAATTATTGACTCTTTCTTAAGAAACTGAGGCATAGAGAGGTTAAATAACTAGTCCAAGGTCATAGGTAGTACATAGTGATGGAGTCACATTTCAAACCCAAGCAGTTTGACTCTAACAGCCTCTATTCTTCATACTATATATGGCTCAAAATGATCTTGCCCTTTTTTTAAACACCTAAGAAGTTCACTTTTATCTTTTCTTGTTTTAATTTGGTCCTTAAGAATAATGAATTGGATGAATCATGATACTATGTCATATACAAAAACTTAATCATTGGTCCATGCACAGTCCTCTTATTTCACAAATTTCCCATAATAATAAAAATAAGCTTGGCATCCATAGCTCAGTGGTTAAGGTGCTGGCCATG